TTTATTTCTTGCCAGGTTATAAGGAAGCCATCGAGCTGGTGTTAACGGTTAAGTTACCGGGTATGTTACAGAAAAGTTATTATATTCACGGTGTTTTCAACTGTATTTCACCATGCCAAACAAGTTGGAAGGCTGCGTCAGGCCATCCCTATGGTGGTGTCCCTCTCCCTTACATGTCGAAGGAGAGCGTGGTAGTCGTCCCAGCTCCTCAGCATACTTGATCAAGTCCACATGGTGCTTTCACTGGCACGTTGGCGTGGCGAGATCATCGTCAGCTCTTCACATAGCTCGTGCAAATGACACCTCGCGTGCCTGCTTGCACGACTGAAGATGCAGAGCGGCTCTTAGCGATACCGTCGTCCCGTTGGTACTGGTGTTACGTTTTAGAGCACGCTTGGTCGCTGCCCTCCGAGTACGCGAACTCCACCGGTCTTGCCACTGCAATATCCTGACGAAACTTCTTCGCTGAGGTGAAAAATGGAATAACTAGCGGCATCTTGTGCTGCTTGTTTAATCGGTTAAGGGGTGAGTCCCCGCGTCATTACGAGTCTCCGTGGCGTCCACACACAAGTCGTGCGGGATGATAAACCCGTGCGATCCCTGGATATCAATCACGGTGCCACAGTGGAGCACGTCCAGCTTGTTACTAACTTCTGCGGTCTCCACGATTGTCGGGTTGACTGCGGACTCCAGAGCGCCCATACTGTCTTCACTCTCTCGTCGACTAATCTTCTCCTGGAAAAGGGGTGTCATAGAGGCTGGAATCGCCGGCGAGGCGATGTTCAGCGCCATGGAAGATATCTCGTCCTTAGGCACCTGTTTCTGCTGTTTCTTCGCAGCGCTGGTCTTGGCGGGGGACAGATGGGGCAGCGTGACCATGTCGGGGCTGCACTTGTCTATTTCTTGATCCAGGAAGTCCTGGTACGACTGTGCGGTCTTGGGGAACTTGATCGCTAAAGTAAACTTGGGCATACATGGAGCGACCGAAGGTAGGAGGTAGTAACGATCCCATGCGATGCCACAATGACCCTTGTACACGGAAGTTGTAGACACCACTCCGTGTCACGCTTTCGTCAACGCTTAGAGGCCGAGACCGCGAAACTCCCACGGACGTAAATGCGAATACGTTGTTGTAGGCCCGGATTGACCGCATGAAGGTCGGGTTTTCGAAAAGTGTCAGAAGCGCATCAGGTGCTGTTCGCGAAGATGGAACGAACACCAGTCCGTTACGACAGCAGGATCCATCTGTCTCTTGCGGAAACTTTCTTACCCGTTGCAAAAGCGACAGAGCCGTTCGCAGTCTCGACTGTCGTTCGTGTAACGCGTGAAGTAGTGTCGACCACCGTCCACTTTGGAAGGATCAAAATGTGGTGTAATAGAACGCACAAATACCGTCAGATGTGGATTCCTTACACAAACCACATCGAATCGCCGAGTTAGGTCGGCGGTTGTATGGCCTGCGCAGAGGGTGGTTCCCTCGCGGTTCGGCCCTTCCGGGACAGACGAGTGGCTCACTTCCACTCGGTTCCGACTAACCAAGTCAGAGTACTTCCGAGGCTCCGCCGAGTTTGGTTCGGCTGAGCTCGTTCACAAACCCTGTGCCCTCCACCAAAGGATGAACGACGGCGCGCGGGCGCTTTAACAGGTCACCGAGCGCAGAGGCTGCTCAGCTAGAAGTGTTGCGGCACCCGGGCTATCCGACGTACCGGCCCGCTGAGTGTGCGGGGCTTTCTTTCGCGCGTAGCGAGACTTTGTCCTACCCGGACCGACCTAATCTCTTGGCGCTACCAGTAAATACCCTGCAAGCTATGCCTCTCGAGTATCGACGGCAGGCATAATCCAGCCCTATGCAGGGACTTACCGGAAGAGTGTACACGTGTCTTGGACTAGGCAAATTCTGCTATGTTATCTTCTCGGAGCCTTTTCGGCTCCCCCTATTTAATCCTATGCTTCTCATACAAATATCAAGTGAAATGTAGTCGTTTCGGATCTCTACCGACCCTTCCGCTGGGTTCAGGCGACTGTGGTGTTGGAAATCCCACGTGAACTCTAGCTACAGATGTAGTTAGGATGTTCCCACAACAATACGTCTACTAGGATAGTAAACGATCGTTCGGGCGGACCTGAAGACCCCAGCTCTGCCCTTGCACCGGGACAAACTGGACCTTGTAAACTACTTATATAGGCCAACCAGTAAAATAAGAACACGCTACTAGCACGAGCAAAGCTAGCAGGTGTTTTGAATCCTCGTGGTCCCAACAGCGGAAGGGTACCAGGCACGGGTAAGCCTTTTACGAGATCACCGAGTGTTCAACACTCGGCTGGAAGAAATAAAAGGGAGGCAATTCAAGCACTCCCAGTCGTGCAAATAGGCAACAATAAGCCGTCACGTAAAACCTCCCGATAATAATCGGCCAATACACAAAGTCTCTTGGCCTTGCCGGATGAACCCTCGCTACAGAGCTTCGAGTTCACCGACAGGCATAACACACTCAAACAAGCTTGACCTGACGCTTACCTTGAAGCCGGACGTCGCTCTGTGTGCTTGAGTGGAAATTCTGTTCTGTATTTAAGCTTACCCTTTCGGGTCTATTCCTAATAAGAAGTCCTAATCAAGTATACAAATATCAAGTGAAAAATGATCCGTTATGGATCTTCTTGCATGCCAAGCGTCGTCTGCACTGTCGCATGAGCATCTTTTTTTTTATATTATTTCATTTTTATCTATGTTAATAGGTGCATTATCCGCATTACAGCAAAAAAAAATAAAA